ACATCTTTTACTCTAGGAACTTCCTTCCTTCCAGATCCTTCCTGCTCGTTCAGTGGGAGGCACCAGGTGTCTAATAGCCTTCGCCACTGTGACGGAGGCATGATTGTTTATTCTCACCGTCAGAGCACAAAGGTGCCCCAGCCAAGGCTGGGTGCTGTCCCGCTAGGGACTGAACTTAAGCTACGTAAAACAGGTCTTTGTGGATGTCGCAGTTGGGAGAGACAAGGTGAAAAACGGGTGAGAGCAGAAAGAGGGGCACAAAGAGAGAAAGTGACTTGAGTGAAGAAATCTAGTAATTCAGCTGCACAAAGAGAAGCTAAGGCTGCAAAGTCCTAGTCCCATTCTTCGTCTTCTGCTTGTAGGAGCCGTCAATAATGTGACCGTTATGAGTTGTTTCTTTATTGAATCTCTCTGCGCTTTCTGATTCCGGGAAGGCTCTGGAGTTGCACTAGCTCTGTCTTGCTGAAACCAGAAGTAACAGGTTCTCAGAAAGAGACTAGTCTTCCAAGGTTTTCAGACCCAAACTATTTAGAAAAGGATTTTTTGTCTGTTTATCTGAACTCCGAATGAACCACTCAGACATTTGAGGTTTGTCCCTAATAAAACACGGTTTTGAATCACTGAAATATTCTGCAGTGTAAATATGGTCTTCAAAGTGAGCAGAGGTGGTCGTGCTTTCCTGGGACATGTTTTGCCTAGAGTAAAGACTGACTGCTACTTTGAGCTCATATTCAAGGATGCTGAAACCTTGCAAATTGATCCCGTATAGTTTCTGCCCTTTTCTTGAATGGTGGGGAAAATTTCCGTCTCTAGTGCAACCAAAGTAGAAGGATTCATTTGAATCTCAAATCTATAACGTTTGTATCCAGATCTGAACCCTTTTCTGTATGCTGCCTGGGACCTGTTGGTGGACTTGCGGGTTAAACCATTCTCTGTGGTCATTTTTGCTGACAGTCTCCTGGGATGGCAGTTCCCATTCCAGCCTCCATGCATGGCACTGTGGGTCCTTATGCCCGAGTGACAGCATCGCCCACCATCCCTTGCACTGCGTCCAGTGCAGGGGTTCCTGGGTGTTTCATGGCCTCCTGCAGCGCTAGGAGTTGCCATTTGGCCGTGCTCTGTTTGGCCTTTTCTGTCTCTTTGACCTCGACATTGGTCTAGGTTTAACATCGCAGCAGCAGCACGTGTGGAGGTATCCAAAGCTGTTGCTCTTTGACATGCTTTGCAAGAGGAACTTTTCACCAATGCACACAGTTTTGAGCCCTAAGGGGGGGAAATAGTTTCCTTGTCTGTCAGAGTTTTTAAGACTTACAAAAAAATTTTCCCTCCCTCATTTGACAAAAGGCAAAAAGTACCACTTTGGAAACGCTCTGCATCGTTTTGATGCCAACCTTTGGTTGGTTAAGTTTCCTTTGCGAGAAAGGAAGTTGCGTTTCTCAACACAACCTCATCTCAAGTGAAAAACCTGAAATTTCCTTTTCTGAGAAGGTCAAAACAAGACATCACAGCAATTTTAAAGCTTTGTTGCAACTTCATTTTCTTCCAGCCAGCAAATCTGATGAAAATAATCCTTGTCATGAAAAGTTTTGTTTTCAGCAAATTAACATTTTGTTTTTCGCAGAGACAAGGGCTTCTGGAAAAATTCCTGCTCTGGAGTTGATTTGAATTTGAGCAACAACAGTGTCTCCTAGTGGCTGACTCCAAGGGGATGGCCAAATCCATCTTGGCTTTCAAGTGTGTCTTCCTTGACCCTCCTCTTAGATCTTTGCTCATCCCGGGGTGCAAGAAGTGGGAAATGAATTGTGCTCTGAGCAACGAACCATTTCATAAGCCATAAAAACATCTATGGCAGGCTATTTTCTAGCCTCCAGTTAGCGCTGAAAGAAGATAATTACATTTGAAGGCAGTATCACTGGATGCTTGCCTCATCTGCTGTTTGGCTTCCACTCTAATAACACAAGAGCTCACATCAGCAGCTTAGCCAGCATGCAGGGCTATCCATCCTTGTCTTTGCCCAGTGGGTCCTGCCTCCGCGTCACTGCAGGATTGCAGTCTGAACATCTCTACCTTGTCACCAAATTAGTTCTGCCTTGCACCAAGTATGAACAATAAAAGATAACGAAGATCTCGTCTGAAGCACGATTGGCTTTGCAGTGTCAGCTAGCTGTCCCTCAGCCTTGCCCAGGCATCACCCATCATCCTTCTCGATCTGCCAGATCAGCTTCTCATTACAGCTGTCTGTGATCTCATCAGTGCCATCTCCTTGTCCTCTCTTTTCCCTCTTTGGCATTCCCTCTCTCCTGAGAGGTCACTGCAGCTTTTTTCCTGCACTCTCTGATCTCATATGCAGCAGAAGTCATGACCCTGGAGAGCAAGCCAGAAGGACCCCAAACTGTCGAAGGAAATTGGCAAATCAGTTCAAGCAGCAGTATTGGCAGATGAACTGTTTGCAATCCCAAGGGTTTGACAGGCCACAAAAAATCATGGGGTTGCCTTAGAAAACATAGGATTTGGAATTATAACTATTGACAAATTCTTCTCACTTGCCTGAAGGTGTTTTTAAGCTTGTCAAGCTCAGGCTTTCTAGGCTGGACACTAACTTTTTTGGTAACGATTCCTGAGTTGGTCTTGTCAAATTCACATGAGACCAGGATTACGGATTTTAAAAAGATCACCAGCTATCTTCATTTTCATGACAAGCTTGTGACTCTTGGCAGCACATCTGGCAATAGCAAGGAGAACGTGGAGACCACTGAATTAAGTTTGACCTCAGCCCATGGGACAACGGACGTGTTGCAGGCTCCAAGGTGTTGTAGATAGCGATGGGCATGTTCCCTGTGTTTCCCAGCAGATGCAGTGCTACGCAACTGTCCTATCCCTTCAAAGCTGCCCAAGCTGCAGCTTCATTGCTGGTGGTTATGTCATTAATTTCCCAGCCTTAGCATACTCGCAAGTCCTGCAGCCATCCTCTGCCTGCAGTGAACACCCTGTCCCAAGGAGGCCTCAGCCTGCTGCTGGGAAGGAGGCAGGAATTTAGCAAGTTGTTTTACTTCTTGTCAAGAATGCGCGCTTGCATAACCCCAACCGAGAGGAGAGACTGCGAGCGTGCCAGCCGCACGCTGCTCCTGACAAACAGTTCAAGTAAGCTGCGAGCACGGTGCCCTGTCCCTCCTGCCGCTTACAGCGAGACAGAGACTGGGGATCCAGCGGGGCTATTTCAGGCACAGCCTCCACTGCAGAGCTGGTTAGATGACATCCTCGAGCAGCCCTCATCTTCAGCTGTGTTTTCCTTGCAAAGAAGAGACCTCTCTGTGACATTCTGGCATCGTCAGAGGAGGGAATAGTGGACGAGCGCTGCTTCGTATCGGGGAGGGAATCGCCTTGCACGCGGCAAAGAAGGCGTGCAGAGGGCTGCACTGTGCAGCCACCTGGGCTGCCCCTTGGTAGAAACTGGAGAACTGAAGATGGCACGGTCTTTCCCCTGGTGTCCATTAGTGATTAGCGTATATGGATTATAATCATGAGGACTCAGGCTCTTAGTGCTCTTTCTCCTGGCTAAATGGTTGAGCAGAAGACAGTCTGTTGCATAAAGTAATTTAGCCTATGAATGATGGCTCATTAGCAGCCCACAGACTGTCACTGCCGATAGTAGGGAATATGCGGGCTTTTCCGGGATCTGAGTTAACTCTTTCTGCCTCTCCCCCAATTGCCAAGCATTCATTTTGCAGGCTGCAGAGTTAAACATGCCTGTGCCACAGTATCACAATGGTCTGCTGTCTGCGGAGCCTCAGATAACACAACAACATCCCCAAGAAGCTGCCAACTATTAACATAGTGTCTAATGACAGATGGGGAATAAAGGAAGCTATTATCAGTCAGGAGATGAGTCAGATATGAAAATAACACCTTTTTCTAGACAATATTATTACAGTGAGGAATGAAAAGACTCATTTTCTTTTGCAAAGGAATGGGCCTTGAGCAGTAGAAAAACACATTGCAGAGCCTGGTGCTCTTTGAGGGAATAGCTCCAGTAAGTGAGCAAACCCAGTATCACCTTTTGCATTTGTCACTTTTGCACCACGTTCTGGCCATGAACCGTCCTGCCCGGGTGCTGGACAGACACTGCTGTGCTTCACGGGAAAGGAACATCTAAGGCTGTACCTGAAAAGCCAGAATGTAGCCCCAGTCTTGGGTAATTTTTTTGGTGCTGGTGGAGGAGGGGAATGGAAAGATCAGTTTTGTGTTTCAGCTGTGTGCAAACCTACGCGCTCTGAGAGACTCACTCTGATCACGGAGGGAATCTTGACACTGGGGATGAGCCCAGGGCCATACCGCTGACATTTTAACAAAATCTACTTTAAGTTACTGACAGGACTTCAGAAGGAGAAATCATCTTGGGCCTTTTAGAATGATTTCCAAAGGCCCTCAAGGGGGATAAAACTATTGATCCCACTGACTTTCTCTGGTATTTGCTTTCCCAGTTCTCTCAGGATACATCTGCAGGAAAAGTGCTTTGTTTGTATGTGGATATAGCTCCATTGTATGGACAAAGTGCTCCTGCTTTGGATCTAGCAGTGCCCAGAAAGCTCTGCTTAGCTTAGTGTAGTAAAGACAGTGTTACTGACCAGTGCAAGTCTTAATATGAGCCTTACAAGCCATACTACCCATTCACCTGGTAGCTGTCTTAGACAAGTGCACAAGCCCTCTCCTTCATGTAAATTTAGTGTATTGGGCCGGTTGGCACTGTTGTTCTGCTGCTTCAGAAATGGGCTGGGATTCCATTTTTCCAGTAAAATGCACAGGGACTGTCTGCAAGGCTCTTGCTTGTTTGCTGTTCCCTTTAGACTTTTATCTGTCTCCATGGCTCTTCTTCGGGAGGAATACAGGAAGATGCAGCATTTGTGCATCATTAGCACAAATCCCAGAGGGGGAGGATTATACCAGTACTTGGCCGTTTCCTCTGCGCATCTGTTTGACTATGTTGCTTTTTTGTCTTGTAGCCGGACGAGTTGACCAATGCCTTGGAGATCAGTAACATCGTCTTCACCAGCATGTTTGCCCTGGAGATGCTCCTGAAACTCCTTGCCTTTGGCCTCTTCGGCTACATCAAGAACCCATACAACATCTTTGATGGGATTATTGTTGTCATCAGGTCCCTGCCAGCTCTTTCTCCATTGTGGCTTTTCTGCTGAGGGCTTAGCCCATTTAGGGGGTGGGGTGAGGGAATAAGAATGACATAGCATGTGTTACTGCAGAGCTCACTGGGAATTATGGGCTATAATTACGCTGGCCTTTTGGATTCCTATCTTTAGAAGGCCTATCCAAAGCAAATGGAACTGACAGATGGAGAAAAGGTCTATTTACGCTGCACATCTGGCGCTGTGGTGACTTTTCCACTGAAGTACAGCATGGCTGGTCCTGGGAAAGGAGTGCCGTGAGTGTCTGTATCCCAGCAGCCTGCCCTCCGACCTCCAAAGTAACGCATACCTCAGAGCAGAACAGGGCAAGCAGGAGGATAAAAGAGGGCACTGTTCTGGTGTCCTCTTCCAAGGGAACATTGTATCCCTGACTAAACTGGGGATGGCACAGCATGCATTGCAGAAGCCTGCACAGCTTGTGAAGCTTGTAAGAAACTAGCCTGCTCAGGGTTTTCACAGCACAGTACTGCTGTTGTATTGTCTCTTCCCCTTCTTGTGTTCCTGCAGCGTCTGGGAGATCATCGGCCAGTCGGATGGAGGCCTCTCCGTGCTACGAACTTTTCGACTGCTCAGGGTGCTGAAACTGGTACGTTTCATGCCCGCCCTCCGTCGCCAGCTGGTGGTCCTGATGAAGACAATGGACAACGTAGCCACTTTCTGCATGTTGCTCATGCTCTTCATCTTTATCTTCAGGTACCAGAGACAGTAGTTCTTCTTCGATTAAGCGTTCAACTTGTCTAAGTAACATATAGATTAGAATAACAACGGAGCGCATTTGCAAGGCTGCCTACGTGACAGAATTGCTCACAATAAACTGACAGGCAGACTCTCAACAGACGATTTACCTCTTTGCGGTCTCAGTTTTTCAGGCAATGCTACAATTCTATAGATGAACGAAGAACGCAAACAGACAACAACAGTCAGACAGTTGCTGTGGCTGACGTTCCTGGGAGGCTCATTTACCTGTGTCTCAGGAAGCTGTCAGTAGCTGGATTCTACCAGCTTCATATTTGAGAGGGAGGTCATATAGACTCCAAAACCTTTGTCTGTTTGACCCTATGATGCTCCTCAAGATCCTTTTCCTGGAAATCAGATTGATCAGGCAGCTGGCAATGTGACTTATCATTTTCTAGACAAATGAGATCCCTGATTTGACTTTGCTGTAGATAATTATAATGAAGCATGACGCAGAACTGCCAAACAGCAAGAGCCCATCTCTCTGGGAAATACCACCGGCATTCCAAGCACACCAAAAAGAATGCACCCCAAAAAAGCACTGTAGTGATCCTTACAACCATATTTCACACAATAACATATTTATTCTATTTCCCTTTCTTTCCCACTCTAGCATTCTTGGCATGCATCTTTTTGGATGCAAGTTCAGCCTGAAAACTGATTCGGGAGACACAGTTCCAGATAGAAAGAATTTCGACTCCTTGCTTTGGGCCATTGTGACAGTCTTTCAGGTAAGATCTGGGTCCTCCCAGGAGTTTTAATATAGCCCAAGTAGACAAATTATTTTGCTTCTCAAAAAAAGTGTTCCATTAAGTATCCAACTTGGACGGAAATAGCACTCGAGAGTTGTTAGGACAAAGTGATTGTCTCTGTGATTTTCCAGTTGAGTTAGCTGGTCTCTACAAGACCTGGTGGAGAAGCAATTTACCCAAAAGCATCATGGCTCCTATCTGTTGTTAGCAAAAGTAAAGTCTGAGAAGGTCTGGAAATCCAACTTTATTTTCCTTACATCAAGACCCACAGTGCATTACAAATATCCTGTCCGTTTTCCTCCTATTCTGCAGATCTCTGTCTCCTGAGTTACAATCCAGCACCCTTCACTGCCCCTAAAATGCACTTTCCAAACAATTTCATTTAATTGGGGGTGACAAATACTGTCACAAATCAGAGCTGGAGTGGCTGGCTCTGCATGCTGGGACATTCTTTATGTAAAAACTGTTTTTCCTCTACATACAAGATGTGTTATGACCTTGCAATTACTGGTATGTTCCACAATGGATGAATAAGCTGCTATGTCCAGGGCGTTCTCAGTATATTAGTCTTATTCTGTTTAACAGTCCAGTCCTTACAGCCCAAGTGGAGCACAGTGCAGACAATGTTAAGCTAGATTTCTAAATGCAGAGTAGGTATTCACTATGGTAGCATTCAAGGTGAAAACCAGTCCAAGGCCTTCACTGTGAAGATTATGACCTCCTACAAAGTTTTCCTTCATATAAAGAGAGATTTAATGTACGGCAAGGAGAAGTCAGCATAAGTCTCACAAGTTCATATTTTTCTCTCTATCCTCTATAAAATTAATACAGAAGTCTGCATTTAGCAGTCCTATGGGCAAATAGAGTTGGAACAATGCACAAGAGCTTGGCCCTACCTCAGGTGAAGGTTAATGAGTGATGTGACTCAGAGCAACTGACTGCATTGCTGTCCCTAAAGCCACCTTGTTTTCAGGGGGAAGGGGGTGGGGGATAGAGGCCATATTCGCTATAAGCCTGGATTAATCTGGAGCATGAATGTGTCATCTGTTTTTCATATACCCTGGGTTTTTTGAGCTCCAGGAAAGCTAGGAGAGTGGGAGTCCCTGATGAAGGTCCCTTGGAGTAAGGCTTTGCAAAGATGTGCAAGTTTTTGCCCAATTTGTAAGTGCTTTTACCCAATAGATTCTACTTTTCTTCTTTTCTTGAGTTTCTTGAGCCACCCTGTGTCATGTACCATGTCAAATGGCATGTTTCCTACCATTTCCCTCAGCTCCAGGTAACTTATAAAGGACAAAGGAAAGGGCAGCTCCAAAAGGAGACAACAGCTCCGGCCCTAGGCCTATTATCTTCTGATGTTATCAAAGGAGGCAATACCCCCACCAAATGATGGGACATGTACCAGCGCAGCCTTCATGTTACCACAGCTGGGATCTGAACGAGACATTTCCCTGGGCAGCAGTGTGCTAGATACTCCTGCAGTGAGTGGAGGTTTGGCTGGGAGAGAGCTCTCACATGCAGAGATCTAAATAAAGGAATGTTTTGCTGTCTCATCTCATGACACCTGCTAATGGTTACGCTCAGAAAAGGTCAAGAGGAGTGGCAGAAATTGCTGAGTCAATGAGTATTTGTGTGCAGCTGCTGTCCATGAGAGGAGTGGAGTAATCGGTGTGTCTTTCCCTCCGCCTCTCTGCAGATCCTCACTCAAGAGGACTGGAATGTGGTCCTCTACAATGGGATGGCTTCTACGTCCTCCTGGGCAGCGCTCTACTTTGTGGCCCTGATGACCTTCGGCAATTATGTGCTTTTCAACCTTCTCGTTGCCATTCTGGTAGAAGGCTTCCAAGCAGAGGTAAGAGGACTGAGCAGAGGGAGAGAGAGAAAACTGAGTACCACACATCAGTGTCAGTAGGGATCAGTCCATATCAGTGCAGACTTCAGGGCATGCGGGCAGCCCTGAATTTAACCTTAAGGGGATAGAGATAAGCTGGGCTGGGCAGGGCATGCCCAGCTCCCATGAGTCTGTCTTTGCACACAAGGCTTACTGGACTAGGCGTGGGACTTGAGAGATGAACGTTTTGATTGATCTGCTGCAATGTCTCTTATGTGCCCGTGAGAAAATCATTTAGGACGGATTTGACTTGCCTAAATCCCACCAGTGTCGTGTATTTTATGTTTCTTTATGGTAAGCCTCAGGCCTTGGAGATGCCTAGCCAACAGGAGTCACGGAGACCAGGCAGGATGTGGGCTGGCTGAATCCATACCTTTTCTTGTGATTGTCCCTTACGTGTAATTTGGGGCTAGTAGCGCAGCTGTTAGAAAAGCTGTGTTTCAAGGTTACAAACATTAAATATTGAGATACTTGGGATGATGTGGGACAAATAAACGGTAATCCTTACCTACACTGAAGGTAATGTCTGTATCAGGTCAATGAGCAGGGAATTTGATAAACTGCAGGCATCGCATCTCACATGGAGAGGATTAGAGAAATGATGTTATTTCTCAGGCAACAGTGATATACAATGCCCTGATCTGAACTGAGCAGGAACCTCAGCAGCTGTGCGGGCAATCCTGTGCCGTGAGATCGGGAGCTGCATACCGCCCTGGTGCGAATGGTACAGTACTGGTGTGAGCAGGGGGCCCTTGCAGCCTGTTAAGCTCCCCTCTCCCTCGGCAAGACCACTCTCAATCTGCTTTCAGCATCCTGAGCGAGTGAAAGCCATAATCCTCTGCCCTATCCTGCTCTTCTCCATCGTCCTTTCAGATCAGAGCAAATCCATTTGGGGGAGATTTTGAATGAGAATAACGATCCTGCTTCAGCTGTAAATATAATATGTATGCACGTATATATTTTCAGAAAAAGCGAACCTTTTCAAAGTTTTAGCGAAAATGGGAATGATTTTGAGACTTACGGAAAATTGTCCAGTCGCAGTTCAAGCTAAGAATAGTGGTATTGAAAGGACTTGCGTCACGCTTTGGGATTTTTAAATGATTACTTCTGCAACATGCAAGAAGGGAAAGTTAGCTTAGCACTGGGTTGACTTCAGAGAGGCAGAGACTCAGAAAGAAAATGAGAAAATGGCTTTGGTTTTCACCGCCTTAGCTCCCAAGGGGAAGAGGAGAAAGAAACTTTTTATTTTTTTTAACTTTTCATTTTCTCCCCAGAAATGGCATCATGCTCGTATTTATTGTGTTTACATCACACTTAGACACGCTGTCACTGACCATGGAATATAACTGAAATATTCATGGACCAACAATTCCCTTCTCGCCAGCCAGCACAGTCATATTTATGTCCTTCAAGGATGTCTGCATAGATTCATTATTAAAACATCCCTTCCAGCTTTCTCCTAGCACCAGCAGAGGAAAATTAATTGAAACAACAGGAGCCAAGCCCCAGTTCGGAAAAAAACAACCCTGATCTACATTGCTCAGGGCTGTTTTATGGCTGCTGATGGCAGCGGGGGCCACCTGTGCACACAGAGAGGACCCAAGTCGTCCAGCTCACTGCTTTTAAAAGCAGCTCTGCACTGCATTAGTGAGCATCCTGATGGCTTGTGCATCATAGGCCATGCCCTGACGATCCAGCACAGCTGACTAAGAATAGCTAGAAGGTCCTTTTTCAAGAGCAAGCCGGTATGTCATGTGTCAGTGTCTTGAGTTAATGCTGGCACTGTTTATGTCTAAACTCATGAAGCTGTGTCACAGATCTCAGCATCTTCTGGCTCTGCCGTGGATCTATAACACTGTAACACCTTTGCCATATCCCTGTGCTACTGTGACTTGTAGACAGAGATGGACATTTTGGCCACTAACTTTGAAAGACCAAAGCAAAAGAATTATCATTATTCCTCAAGAGTCTGCATTAACTGCTTTCTTCCAGCGCAGAGGGGTTTTCCTCTAGGAGAGTTGCTTGTTGTATTCAGAGTGCTTGTGCTGGACCTCAGTCCTGCTAGAAAATGACACAGGCTGTAGCAGACTAGCATCTGCGGTAAAGTAATAGATTTTCCTGAATTGAATGGAGAAGCAACCGATACAGTTGGCCATATGGCAGCCCAGAGAGGGGACTATTCAGTGACTAGACATATGTTGGATGTCCTCAGACTCAACCAACCAGCAAATCTGGGTGGGAAAAGAGAACATTTCCCTTGCCAGGGAAACCCAAACAGATGATAACCAGCATGTGTGACCTGAACGACTGGAAACTGCTCCTGCTCCTCTTGATGCTAGTACCGACCACTGCTGATGCTCATGCCAAGGAGAAAATATTTGAGAATCCTGAGGACTCTCGTTTACCTCTGGCCCTGTGGCTGGCTGTCCCCCTCTGGTGTGTGGAGGCTTCCTTTTTAGTTTGAGCAATCTTGCATTTAGACACAGAGAGCCCGTGCACAGTCTCCTGCTGCTGTTACACATGCAGCTCCCATGTCCCATTTGCGTCCTTTGTTAGTGTTTGCTCTGTTTGTTAGTGTTTTCTCCGCTCAGCAACCTGGCAGGTTGCAGGTACCTTTGTATGGGTACAGACCCCCGTTTCTTACCTGCCCTCTTGGAACTGGCTCATGTGCTAATGTGATGCCAAAAATCAGCAGCCTTGTGCAATATTCTCTGAGTGCCTGATTGCAGACCTAGCCAAATGGATGTCATTTTCTTGCTCAGGCTTAATGGCTCCTCTCGGAGCTGTTACGAACCATGATTTAAATATGGAGCAGTTTTCAAAGCTTGTATTATTCACTCAGTGCTGCCTCAGAAAAGGCCAACAACCACAGGCATGACATTTGCGGGGCACATTTTGCTCTCCACTTCCATTTATTATAAATCTTGACATTAAGCCTGCGGGCTTGTCAGATGTCTCATAGCAAAGTATCAGCCGTGCTACAGAAAACCCTTTTCAGGGCTGTATTTAAGCTACAAGGACTTGAATCAAGTCTTGCACTTATAAATGAATAACTTAGCTCTGGTTGTAGACCAAAGTCTGTTAAAGTCTCCTTGGGCAACTCACGGGAGGAAGCATTGGCAGAGCAGGGATTTCTTTTCTTTTGTCACCCCTGGTTCTGCCAGTAGATGTTAGGAATACGTCAGAAATTCTTGCTTTGATCTCTTCAGCCTTGTCCTCCTTCAGGATGGGTCTAAGAAGTTGTAGAAGATGATGTTGGGCAGTTCTCCTCCCTTCACTCAGGTCTGTCTTTCACTCAGATGCTGAGTGTGACTCTGGGTCAAATTGTGCAGCTAAAGGGGTGCATGCTGGAGCTGCTGAATCACAGAAAGATCTCAGCTTGATCTTGGGTTTTGAATTGTCCATGGAGCAAGCTGGACAGAGATTTGTGTGGAAGAGAGTAGGTATAATTGGCTATAAGAAAATGTGTTCAGTACAGGTTATTCCTCATTTACGCTTAAGACAACAAGCAGAACCGTAATGGCATATTTGTACTTAACGTTATTCTCACGTCATTTTGAAATCTAACCCCGAGCTGCTCTGGAAAAGCAGACAAACCTTCCAAAATTAGGCAGATCTTTCAGCTACTCTGCACTATTACTCCTGTTCCGAAACAGAGACGGTGAATAGGGAAACTTAAGCCTTTCAGTCATCCTGTGTCTTTGGCTGCATCAGTTAGGAATACATCACAGATAAAATGAAGTTCACTGCTGCTTTAACACCACATCTCTAGAAACCGTAGTGATTTGTTCAGGCATCAATTAAGGAACTGTTCTCCTTTTCCAGGATCAGCTCCTTTAATCCAGCCTTTTGGTACCAGTTTGCCCAGCTTTTCTGCAGTCTTGATGGGTCAAGCCAGAGTCATGCTAAGAGCCTGCTGGGTTCCTTCCCTTCTGCTGACTCTGCGGCAGAGGAGAACCTGACAATAGCTCTTCTGCCCCGGGCTTGTACATTATTTAGACTGGTCATTTTGGTAGCAGAGGCAGATATGTTCAAAAGAGAAAAATAGCCACGGGAAGCACTAAACAGACTTCCAGGAGGAAAGCTGGTCTGAGGGCTCTTGGCTGTTCTCTGTCCTGAGATGGTGCTGCATTGCCAGGCAAGCTGGCCTGCTTCTCCTGCCTCAGCTTCAGCGTTGCCAAGAGATTTTCCAGTGCAATCTCGACTACCGGGCAGCGTGAAGGAGTCAAATCAGGGCTCGGTTTTCAGATCTAGGTTGAATTTACAACACTGTCAAATAAAAAAGAAAAACCCTGCAACATCCTTTGACATTAAAACTTAAGTGCTTTCAGCTGGGATCATGGAGAGAACAAATATGGAACCCCACAATGCCAATTTTTCTTAGTCACTCCTCTGATTTCATGTTCTCCCCTGGGACACACTGTTCAGCGAGGCTGGACACAGTGTAGGAAATGCAACGACGCTGCAGGAACAGTATTCACAATCACAACATCATCCTTTCTGTCCAAGTAATAAGAAAATGAATCAAAACAGGGGAGAGGGGACTTGCCCAGGGTCATTCCCTAGAATTTGGCATTCTGCCCTCCTGGTTCTTGGGGCTGAGCTCTATCCAAGAGGAGCTGAGATATCTCAGAGCTGCTAACTAATCCAAATGGCCTTTGTGCTAAACTTTTTGCAGTAAGGTCTGTTAATTACCCTTCGCCTCTCTGCAGGGTGATGCCAATAGGTCAGACACAGATGAGGACAAGACATCTGCCAACTTTGATGATGATTTTGAGAAGCTGAAAGAATTCCGAGCAACAGGTAGGATTTTGCTTCTATTTTTTCAGATGAATTAGAGCTCTACTACAGCCCTGTTTCTGCAGTCATCTTTACTTCAAAATTTATGGAAAAAAGCAGAAGACTTTTATGTGGTAGCTAGTTTATTTGGAAATTAATCTAATAGCTATGTTAACAGGGCAACTATGCAAAAAGTGTTGGGAAGGCTAAAAAAAAATCTCAAGAGTTGATATTTCCTCTGAACAGATGCATTCCTAATTCTAAACTATACAAGAATATTTAGTTAAGTGCCATCTTTTCTTCTGTATCATTATCAAAGAATGGTTCACTGACAGCACTATTCACAAACTACTCAGCAGCTTTTCAAATCAATCATCTGATCTGTTCTCTTTGGTTTCTCACAGAAACGCATCTAAGTGAGGTTTGATTGATGGAAATGTTGCTGCTTATTTGTGTTATAGGAGGTCATTGCAACTGATTTGAAATAAGGCTACGTTGTACTAGTGCAGTATAAGCATGGGATTGTAGGAGACAGTCTTCACCCTGCAGAGTTTGCAGATAGGATGGGAAGGGATCAGATATTTAAGCACAGTGAATAGAATGATGGTAAACAGGAGCTGGCTTAGTTCCTCTGCATTTTTATTCTCAGCTTGGGCTTTTGTTAAGATTCCTTTAAATGCCTCTAAACCAGGATTCATTTCAGCTAAGGAAATGATATTGATTGTGGTCAGCAGATGGAATTCAGCTGAGGAAGGAGCATAAGTAGTTTGTCAGAGAAGCTAAGGAGACAGAGCTGGATCAGAGTGAGGTGACGGAGCTGTCCGGCCTGCAGATCAAGCAACATATTCCAAACACCGAGCAATCAAATGAATCTCCATTGCAAACAATTGGCAAGGAAGCTGCAGCTTGCATTTCCTTTGCACCAACTGTTTACTGGGCAGTGTCAAGTAAAAAGAGATTTCTAGCGGAGGACACATTGTCACTGCTTCTCAGGTAATACAGGAACAGGAAACAGGGCTAAACTCTTTGTCAGTCAAAGTCCATGAATAATTGTACATCTTTATAAGCCTTCTAGGTGCCAACCAGCGGCTAAACAGCATAAGGACATTAACAATTCTATTGCAAAGCTATTGGTCTGTAAACAGATGGACCGGCAAGGGAAACTTGTGTATTGCAGATTAACAAATTTTGATTTTGATATTCCACCCCTCAAAGGGTGTGACAAAGTTCCCATGTACTACTTTGTGCCCAAGCCAGCAAGTTAACAGATGATACAAAGAAGTAATACCACATTACAAAAGCAGCCAGTGGAGGAAAAATAGCAGGGATAACGCAGTCGCTTGAATTTCTCATTGCAGTAACCAAACAAGGTGGAGGTGGGATCACTTCCCATGCTCCCTGTGTAAGTACAGGCTTGTCCTTCTCTCCTGCTGATGGCAGATGGTCCCATTCTTCCCCCTTCCCAACACCCTGGTTCTGTAGTAATTAAACCAGAATCCACTAAGCCCAGTAAAAAAGGAGTTTGTTCAGCTTAACTTTTGTATTTATCATGGCTTTTGGTTTTGGGTGTTACTGCACTCAGCAGTGCTGGAGGCGGTATGTTCTATATAGTCTCTGGTTAGTCTGCGTTGTGAATATGGTTGCTGCAGTCTGTAGCGAGGATGAAACAGCTTACTGCATGGGTCTAACATAGTGTTGCTGCGACATCTCTCTGTAGAGGGCTTTTTACTTGCTGCACAGCTAAAACAGATGCTTTCTACAATTACCACAGAGATGTGTCATTAGATTTCTCTGTTACAGGAGGTTTACTCTTCCAGGTGTGTGGATATTTAGAAGCCATTTCCATTTACTGTCCCCCAAAGAGATGACTAAAGACAATGACTAATGTTTGCTTAGTTTCTTCCTGATGAAGGAACTCGAAGCAGATCAGAACCGCATAAAAACCTCTCTGAGAAGAGATTAGTTTACCAGATTGGATTTTGGCAGTCCTCAGTGTCTTTTCCCTGGTCTCTCCCAACACCAAAAAATTGTGACTCCACTCTCCAAATCTCAAGAAACACTGAGCAAAGGAAACTTCTTTGGAAGCTAATGAGTTCCAAGCTCAGCCAGTGCTGAAGGCCTCTTAAAAGGTCTTGACATTTGCCTCGTTGTCTCCTGTCAAAGTGGGTGGGTGATCTCAGCATTGCACACAAAATTTGATCTCCATTCAGCAAAGTCTGTAGAAAGCCCAAGGAACAATGTCTGTTTTGAATAGTGATTTCTGTAGCTGAGCCACCTTGTATTCTCTTTCTCGTTCCAGAGATGAAGATGTATTCGCTCGCTGTCACCCCAAACGGACACGTGGAGGGCAGGGGGAGCATGCCACCTCCTATAATTATGCGCACTGCTGCCACACCTATGCCAACGCCGAAGTGTTCCCCACACATGGATTCGGTGCACACTTTCATGGACTCAAGGAGAGGGAGCAATGCTTCTCTAGACCCCTTGAGCTATGACCAGAAGTCCTTGGTAGGTTCCCAGTGCTAACAGCACTCCTTCAAGCGCTTGCAAGCAGCACAATTGATGTGTGTATTTATAGTCAGTTCTTGTTGAAGAAAATTGTCTGGTATTTCCCGTTATGTGTCTCTGTTCCCTGGTGCTTCTGGTGCTGCCACAACTCAGCAATGCCAGCTGATGTGTTTCCTGCTGTGCGTACATTGCTAGAAAACGGAGAGGAGTGGCGAGAGGTGACAAGTATGAGGAATGGGAGGAGGAGAACAGATTTAGGAGGGAGAAATGAAGGGGAGTGGTATGTGATAGCAAGACAGTGACAACGTGACAGTCAAGGACAGCGAGTATGTGGAGAGGGGAAACACGGATGTCCAGGGATTCAGGGGTTTTCCTGCCCAGTGTTGGGTTGGGAGTCCATGTTAGCCTGCCTCACTGGAGTAAAGTGACCTGAGACAAGACACATTCATGCAATTGTCCCAGCAAACCCCTCTGAGAAGAAGCAGGTGCCTTCTGCTGACCGCACTGGTCGTGCTGTGGTGTCTTGGAGAAGCTGTGTCAGGTGGTCCTGTGGAGCAGGAGGAGGCTTGGTTCCCCCCACATTGTTTTAGGGTTGCAGCCAGAACTCACTCGGGCACAAGGGGAATGAAGCATTTGTCCTCACCAGCACAGCAGCTGAGCTCCAGTTATGGTACAGCAACCCTTTCAGAAGGGAAACAGAGGAAATGAGGTGTGAGCTGACGTATTGCAACTGGGTGCTCACGGAGGGGAGAGAACTGGCTGGAGTTGACTGCTTTGGCAAATGATTTCATTTTGCCTACAACAGGGGAGCAGGAGGGCAGGTCTATGAAAACAAAGGGAGCAGAGTTAATAGACAAAATGAATTTCTGCTGCTGCTTATCTGTCCCGTTCCTCTGCTCTGTAACTGCAATATCGTGTTCAAATCAAGGCAGCAGACCGTGAAGGCACTTCACACAGAGGCAGAGCCACTATCCCCTTTGGTAAGCTGCTTAGTCAAGGTAATGCTTTTGAAAAGAAAATAGAGATGACTCTGTTGTTTGCCTTGAGGTTTCATGGGATTGTGAGTTGCTGGAAAAGGTTGCTTATGGTTTGAATCCTTTCTCTGAGAGCATGTCAGTGGCACCAGCCAAAGGAAGATGAATCAGTCAGAGGAGAGCTGGCCAACAGTGATGAGGAGGAAGAGGAGGATAGTTTACTTTGTTTCTGTGCCAGGAGGAAGCCATAGAGGGAAAAGGAGTTTTTCTTCTAGTTTTTCTACTCTGACCTTAAGTGCTCTCACCCTGGCAACCACCTGCTAGCCAAAGTGCAGTGACACACCCATCGCGAGCAGAAATTTGCTGTGAGGGAGACATTCATTACACCTCCTTATGCAGCAAATTGAAGAGAAAGTAATGGGAATGCGGGCACAATTTCCAACAGGCACTTGGGTGACTTGGGTACTGGCACCCCTTTGGAAGCTGGAGGAGATATGTGCTGAAACCACTTTGTCATGAGGAAAGAAAATGCCACTTTGTCAAGAGTGTCTTTGGGTTCCGTTTTTATGCGTAATTATTGTTACCAGTACTGTAGGAAATCATGCAGCATAGAGAGTTGGTAGGTGTGCTGCAGATGTAGTTTAAAGAGTGTTTTCAGTGTGGGCTCAGCTGGGTGGTTGGCTCCATTCTTGAGGCACTGGCGCGATAAAATCAGAGCTATAAGGAAAGCTGGAAGGGGAAGACATCACTTGCAACAGGAAGGGTCCTCCGATCTTGGCAAAATGCCATTCCCTTTGGCATTCTCCTGCAAATGAAACATCAAATGCTTTTCTTCTCTCTCAGTCTAGCCTCCGCAGTTCCCCCTGTGCCAACTGGGGGACCAGCAGCAACTGGGGAAGCCGACGCTCAAGCTGGAACAGCCTGGGCAGAGCCCCGAGCCTCAAGAAGAAGAACCAGTCAGGAGAAAGAGAGTCCTTGCTCTCCGGGGAGGGGAAAGGCAGCACGGATGATGACTCTGATGATGCCAAGTCCAGCACGGTCAGCAGGGCCTCACTGCACCGCCGAGCAGAGTCCCTGGACTATCGCAGCTCCCTGGACCTGCCCGAGCTGCTCCAGCTGCCTACCATGCGCCACTCGCTCAGTATCAGCCCTGTGGCTGTTCTGCCTGCGGAGTACCAAGACTGCAACGGCAAGATGGTGCATGTCCCCAGCGAGTTCTTCCTGCGCATCGACAGCCACAAGGATGACACATTGGACTACGAGGATGACATGGAGGATGTGAGTTTAGGGGGAATTGGGTGCTCGTGCATTAAGATGCTTTTCCACTCCAGGAAGGCTGATTAAAAAACCAGTTTGGGCTCAGATATGTTGCTGCCTAATAGCTGGTGTAGACAAAATGAATGAAGAGTTGAGGGATGAACCTCCATTTCCCAGAGAGCTGAGTTAGCTAATGGGGTGCGTTGTTACATTTCAGCGGTCTCCAACAAGGTAAAACTGCACGGGGATGTGCACACATTTGACCGGTATTTTGACTGACTGAGTTTGTACCTCTGGCCCAGGATGCCTCCAATAATGAGCTGTTTGGTTCACAACAGTTAGCTAGTGTCTTTGCTCACAAGAGCTTACTGTTCAGCATCTCAAAGCTAGAAAACCCAGAGAGAGGAGCGTTCTTTCCGTTACTTGATTTTTTGGTTGTTTTAGGTCCTTTTGATTTTGACAGAACTTTGAATCTCAAAATGGTACCTGCCCAGAAGTCTGGCTTTGTCATATTTGTATCTCACAGTAAATCCGTTCCTTTCTTCCACCCCTTTCCTCTCTGTTTTTTTGGAAGAATGTGGCATCCCTTCCCCATACCTAACCCAGCTCTCTCACAAACGCTGGGACTCCTTGCACGTGCTGTGAAATGCCAGGTGCTGCCCCCTTTCACGGGGAACTGTGGTGGCTGAAGAGGCAGGAAAATAAAAGAGGAAAAAAGGTGTTTCTCCTTTTCTATCCAGAGTTACTGCTACCGGATTCGTAAAGTCCTAGAGCCCTACAAACCAGAGTGGTGCAAGAATCACGAAGACTGGTCCCTCTACTTGTTTTCCCCACAGAATCGGTAAGGAATCCTAGTGAAATGCCAGCCTACCAGGTTTTTGAGGTAATTGAATACTGCATTTTTAGCTAGCCTTTCCATGGGAAAAAATCCTTTGCGATGCAAAAGCACTGAGAATTTTAGAAATTTGACTCTTGATATTTAGGTAACATTTCTGTTACGTGTAGGCAGAATCACTGCATGAGTCTTTCCATGCCTGTGTAGGAAGAAGAGTGGTTTAGCCATCATTAATAATAGCCATTACTTCAACTGTTTTTCTACCTTGATAATAATGGCTTCAGCAGTTTGTGCTTGTAGATAGACTAGCTTACCACCTGGGCTGATGCTGGTGGCACAGCTGCCATGGAAGGCTTTTGAGGACAGGCCATTCGGATGGGAATCCTTTGCTGACCCAACCATCTGAAGGACGTTTTTCTCCCCTCCCTTTCTGCAGGTTCCGAGTGATGTGCCAGAAGGTCATTGCCCACAAAATGTTTGATCATGTAGTGCTGGTCTTCATATTTCTCAATTGCATCACTATAGCACTGGAGCGACCAGACATAGACCCACACAGCACGGTGAGCATCTGAGTCGTTTTATTGCTTGATTCCACACTCACATCTCAGTCTTGTCAGGGAAAGACCCCGCGAGATGAAAGATGTTTGTTTTCTAATCTCTTCAAATAACTTGCTGCTTTCTGTTGCTCTATGTTTTACAGGAAAGGATATTCCTAAGTGTTTCCAATTACATTTTCACTGCAATCTTTGTGGCTGAAATGATGGTTAAGGTAATTACATCTCCATTTCGTGATCCTTGGTGAGACCTGGCAAAGACTGAAGATGTGACATAGCTGTGATTAGGTTGCGGATTTATATGTCCCTCTTCTCCTGGTTCTAGGTGGTAGCTCTTGGCTTCTTCTCTGGGGAGAACACCTATCTCCAGAGCAGCTGGAATGTCCTAGATGGAGTCCTGGTCTTTGTATCTATCATTGACATTATTGTCTCCATGGCATCGGCAGGCGGAGCTAAGATCCTGGGTGTCCTTCGAGTGTTGAGACTTCTGCGGACCTTGAGACCTCTCCGGTACTTTCAGCAACAGGGTGGCTGGGTTTGTTTTGTATTGATAGACCAAGGAGTTTGAAAAAAATGCATATGAGCCATCAAGGCTTTGTTTATGACATAAAAACCTGAAACACAGTAGAGGTAGAACCATCTTTGAGGAGCTCTTATCTAGTGAAAGTGTTTGAACACACTGAAATTAGTCCTCGTGTAATTCATCTCCACCAGTATGGAGAAGAGCGGATGGAGTTTGGAGGAAGAAGTATTATCAGACTCAGGCAGTCAGCGCAGCGAATGCCTCCTCCGCTCTGCGTTTTTATCACCATTTTACAAATCAGTCAGGCTCCTTGTTAAACTGCACAACCACACAGTCATTCCCGAGCAAGGAGGTTGCATTGGCTAGGAGTGAATTTGCAATTGAACAGGTGCTGACAATAATTTGATAAGCTCCAGCATCTATACCTGCTCTCCTGTGTCTGCGTATCTAACCTCACTGCAAAACAATTTAGCTCTCAGCTAGGAAGAAGGGAGATGCTTTCAGTATTTGGGAAAAGGAATAAAGACAATTTGTATTTTGTTTACGATGATGCAATCATAAAGAGAAAAGGAGAGTGTTAATGCTTGGGGGATTCTTATCAGCTCACGGCTCCTGCTCCAATTCCATCCTGCTCAGCAAGAAACACAAGCCTTTTTTCATGAAATTTCATTAGAAATAAGATAGGCACCTCCAGAGACCTGTGGGCTTTCTGATGAAAAGCTGCTTGCTGCTTGCTTACGAGAAGATGCAATCTTGTTTAGGCCCATGACTGCCAGAGCAACAGCTGTTTGTCTGCTGCTCTGTATTTCCTTGGTGAAGAGTAGCTTTGGTAGTGTTTCTGTCTCCTCGCTTGCTCCCACGCCCTCTTTTGCTGGCGGCATCATGGTCCCCTTGCAGTGCAGGCTCATCAGGAACCCTCTCAGGGTCACCTTTGCCTGACCTGGCAGGTACCTATCTGACAAACATAATTAGGAACAAAAATCAGGGCATGGGCAGTTAATAAGCTCAAGTAAGGGGAAAAGGGGGAATTAGTCTCAGAAAATAGCTAGGCCAGAGCCTGTTAACAGAGAGGAATTAATCACCCCTTATGCTGGCTCTGCTTACTGTGGCCTCTGCTAGGTGTACTCCAGGGACCATGCCTAACACTTTGTAGGTGCAGTTCAGACTGTCACATTATTTGCTGCCAAAAAGACCCTGTTGAAATGCTTTTCTTTTAGAGGAAGGATCAGCTGCCCGATGTTACCTAGTGATGGGCACCGGCAGGCTGACAGCCTCAGCCGTCTGCACCACATCCTTGCAGCATAGGTCTCTGCTCTTTTCTCTGCATTTGGCAGGTATGAAAGCATCATTAGCCATGCAAGCTCAGGCTACCTGCAAGGACTCTCACCCTCTCCTCCCTATAGGCACCTCCTAAAAAAGCCTTGATGTTCTTCAGTCAAAATACCCAGCTTCCTGGAAAAGCTCACTCAGGCTCGTTATGCTGGTGTGTGCAAACACATTTTTCAGACCCCAAGGGAGAGCTGTTCTCCAGGCACTCAAACAGAAAAGAAAACACTCGCTTTCCATAATACCCAAAACCTGCTTTAGGCCTTGCTTAGAGCATGCCTGGCCTTTCAGTCACCTCACAGCAAGCAATCCATGTTGCTCTTTAGCGGGATGACCCTTTGGCTGTGGAGCTGTTGGTCCCGAGTCCCTGTGGGCCAAGGGTCAGTTCAGGAACTAATTAGGAAACAAACTGAAATGACTCCATTTGAAAAGGTGTCACAGGGCCCAGGCTGGTAGGGCAGGTGAGCACTTAAGTGTTGCCTTTGAGAGCTCAGGGAGTCCCACTGATGGCAAGGTAAGCACATGCTTTAGAGCCTTGTTTTTTGGGGACTGGGGTGCTTGGCAGAATGAGCATTCACCCGCTTTTCCAAAGAGCCCTTCTCAAGAACTTTGCTTGTGCCTGTGTTTCTCCCTCTATAAAATGAGGCCAAGACATGTTCTCTAGTGCCAATATAAAGCTCTTTATAGATGTAATGCTTAAAAGCAGGCTCCTGCCTGGCCTGTGCTCCTCCACTAGGATCAGAGATGGCTCGGAGGGGACCAGCTTTCTGGAGCAAGGTGCAAATAACCCTGCAACGGGAACCTGTGTGATAGCCTGCCTGTGGAGAGTTAATCCTTCCTCACTGTTCGCTGTAAGCAATTGCCCAAAACCCTGCCAACAGGGTTTACACCTCTTACACTTTTAATTCCATCTAATGTAACTGTGAATATTCTGGTTGTCTAAAGAAGTCACTAATCATCTCTGTGCAGTGCCTGCAGATAGAGGAGGGTGGTATTAGTTTTACTGCAGCCCAAGTTGAGGAGGAAAAGAACCATGTAGTAACAAGATACGCATAAAAACTAAAAGCTTTATTGTTCTGCCGTGTTTTCCAGAGTCATCAGCAGAGCCCCAGGTCTGAAGCTGGTGGTAGAAACCTTGATCTCCTCCTTGAGGCCTATTGGAAATATCGTTCTCATCTGCTGTGCTTTCTTCATTATCTTTGGGATTTTAGGGGTGCAGGTACAGTATTTCCCTCACCTCCGCCATCTGCAAGTGACTGCTGCAAAAGAGAAGCTGTTTTTCCCACCACCTGGGGTTACGGTGGAGGTAATGAGCTTAAATCTCATCAAAGGAAGATTTCAGATAGATGTTAAGAAGAAAGAGCCAGGTCTTAAAACAGATGCTCTGGGTGGGGGTGGCATCTACTCCACTGAAGGTCTTTAGACCTCCCTTAGGAACAACGCAGGAAGAGCTGTTCCTGTCTGGAGGGTAGGGGAAGGAAAGGACAGACTCTCAAGATCCCTCCCAGCTCTGTGTGCTAGGATGTATATGATAGCTCTTCCTCTAGAGAGAAGGTTCTTGTCCTGCCGGCAAGACAGATCAGGCCTTCAGGATCCCCTTCCTCCTGCTGTGTCTGAGGCAACGTGCAGCTATGTCCCAGGACCTGAGTTTTCACCAGAGATGGTTTTCCTGCCTTGAGTGTTAAGACAGGTGTCTGAGCTGGGAGACAAGAAAAGGAATTGAACTTAGCAAACAGCTCTACCAGGAGAAAAGAAATATAAATCAGGGACAGGCTTTCCAAAGTTTGTTTTTTGTCTTTTCTTCTCAAATGCAGCTTTTTAAAGGCAAATTCTACTACTGTGATGGTCCTGATGTGAAAAACATCACTACAAAGACTGACTGCACTAATGCACGCTACAGATGGGTTCGGAGGAAGTACAATTTTGACAATTTGGGACAGGTAAAGTCATCACTGCAGGGGATTTCTGTACCAGGTTTTAATGGATGAGCACTTTAAATGTATTCCTTGAGGAGGCTGTGGAACCTTCACCATAGGAAGTTTCCAAGAACAGTGCAGATATTCATCTGTCAGAAGTGACCCTGACTCGGAGTAGGAACAGACCAGCTCACCTCTTATGATATCTTGCAGCCAGCCTCGGGTATACAATTCCTTGTTTATGGGGGAGTGTTATCTTAATGCCACTGCTTTTGCATGCAGTTTCTTGCGTATGGACCTCAATTGTCATTTTTAATCCCTTGACTCCTAGCCATTAGAAGGAAATGGGATATATTTAAACTTTTTAAAATCTCTTATTTTTTTAAATCTCGTGATATTTGGCCAGCCTGACGTACTGATTTTTGATCACGCTTTGGTGACCAGATAGTCTGATGTGGCTGAGCAAAATTAAGCCTATATGTGAGGGAAAAGAAGTGTTACTCACCATAGTTTCCTTACTTTTAAGACATATATGCAAATAGGTGAAAGGAAGCCACATTATGTTGCGTTTCTCCACCACCTCCAGGCCAGACAATGTGTTAGGAGCTGTGGACTGGTTTTATTGAGCATTGTCTATTATTATTTTCTTCTCTGATGATTAAAATGCAGCACCAAAGCATTTGTTTTTTCTTACAGGCTCTCATGTCCTTGTTTGTCCTCTCTTCCAAAGACGGCTGGGTGAACATCATGTACGATGGTCTGGATGCTGTGGGTATTGACCAACAGGTAGATATACTGCACAGGCCAGGAGTGTTACTTCCAGGAATCCCATGCCTGGATGGCTCTGGTGTTTGAAATCCCAGGGAGGACCTCAAGGAGGTCGATCAGGCTGGCAAGGGTTTCCGTCTTCCACGGAGTATCTCTTATAGTGGCTGCAGCCCACGTAGTACACAGCCAAGCACTGATGGAGTTTTTAGAGTGATAGTACTTGAGATGGGACATCGGTCAGCAGACATCCCCAGAAAGACTTCTGGGACTTTATTATGCAAGTTCATCAGGATGGCATTGAGACAGTTACTGGGAAAAAAAAAATGCACTGTTGAAGTGCTGCACTAGCTACAGGCATAGATTGGGATGGAAGAAGGGGGCAGAATAAGTTTTACCTCAGCCTCCGCTCCTTCTTCTTTTAAAACATGCACGTTAAATAGCTAGCGGGAGTGGGATCTGGGCCCTCCAGTTGGACAGAAACTGAACAGGGAGGCAGAGGACAATGCCCTGGGGCTGACTGTGGTCAGACCAGAGCCACTCATTGCAGCATGGGTCTTTGCACTACGGCTTTATGGAAGGTACAATGAATATGAGCAAAACTGACATGAGATGGAAAACCGCCAGGGATATATGAAGAGGCGTTGCTAACTCTGTGTGGTGTGAGGCATTAGCAAAGGAAAGTCAAGAGTCTTAGATGAGTAGTAACTTACTGTAGCAGCAGTAACACTTTGCACTTAATTTTCTGCTGCTTCTGAAGAACTGAAAACAATAAACATTACCATGGGCACGTACCACAGAAGAATAAACTGGAGCCTGTCTTTATCTAAAATGATCTCCCACGTGGGATGATGCACAGCCACTGAGATCTTGTAAGGGATTTATTTTAAGCTATAGAAAATAAACACCAAAATAATGAAATCTCATAAGCCAAATTATCGGGGGAGGAGGGGGGCATTCCACAACAAAAGTAAAATTCTAGTAAGTGAGAAAAGGAAGGAGAGGAAAATATTCTGGGAAAAATCACCTGACTCCTCCCAGCCCTCTCCTCCTTCCCAGAGAAATCTACTGTGCTGCCTTGTTGCTGCAGGGTACCAGATATTCCAGCTTATACACATCGCGTCTATGCTACTTCTCTCTCCTTTTTCTCTTCCTCACTTCACCAGCCCATCCAGAACCATAACCCTTGGATGCTTCTCTACTTCATCTCCTTCCTGCTCATCGTCAGCTTCTTCGTGCTCAACATGTTTGTGGGGGTGGTAGTGGAGAACTTTCACAAGTGCCGGCAGCACCAGGAGGCGGAGGAGGCCCGGCGTCGGGAGGAGAAGCGGCTGAGACGCTTGGAGAAAAAGCGCAGGAGTAAGGAGATATACCTGTCTGGTCGGTAGACTGCGTTACAAACCAAAATCTTTCTGAGCCCTGCCTGCTCCCAAAGCAAGACTTTCATTTTCTTTTGGTTGTGTTTCCATGGGATTCAAGAGGCTGTTTTGTTTCATTACCTCTTTAGCGATACCTTAAGTCTTGGGTTGCCAACGCCCTGGAATTGTCCTCTACAAGCCTAGTGTTAAGCATTACCTGTTTACTTGGCTGGGAAGCATACACTCCTCAAAGCAGAGTCCTCTGTCAGTGATTAGCACACTCTGCAAGGCAAAGGTGTTCCTAAGTTTCCCAGGCACCAGACAGAAGCTCGTGGTGTGACTGAGTAAACAGTTGCAATGCTTGTTGTGCAAGTAAAGGCCAGTCCCAAGGGTAGCCCTGTGGCTTAACATGTCGCTTGCATTTGATGATGGTGGTGGTTTGATTTATTAGTTTTTTTCTTAGACCCAGTAGTTGCGATGCTTTTTAGCGTGCTGGCGCATGGCCCTGCATGCCACAACCATGCTGCATGAGGGCATGAACAAACCAGCAGCCCTGGGGAGAGGAATGGAGCCCCGAGATGGGGCTGTTCAGAAAAGTCTTCTTTGGAAGATGTCCATTACAAGAGATGCTTGCCCCTTCATGTGCTGGGGGAGCCCTTTAGTGCTGAGCAGTGTGCTGGGACTTGGTCTGTCCTTGCAAACAAGCTAGATGGAAATGCTGGCCAGATGCAGGGCCATTATGCTGCAGCAGAAAACCTTTAGATGAAATCTGATTCTAGTGGGTCCATCAGGGACAGTCAAACCAGACCAGGTCTCATTTCTTGATCCAAGCCTTCCCAGGGGTCCTCACGTATTAGTTCTCATCTCCGCTGCTTCTTGGCAGGCTTCACCAGGGACAAGCTGCTTATAGCACTGCCTCTGGTGAGTATCCTTGAGATACCGCTGGGAACCCAGCCATATCAACTTCCCAGCCAGTTTTGTGCAAACAGGGAAAGGCTGTGTTAGACGTTGGCCAGCGTCATTCAGAAGTAAGTGAAGGAACATGGCCTGGCCACTGTGATCAGAGCTGAGCCACTGAATCAGAGTTTTCAGCCCCACTTACCACAGCAGCCCTGTGGCTCTTTGCCTGTAGTTGGTCTGCTCTGTGTGATCTGTAACGGCTTAATATCTCGTCATGACAAAAGGCTAGTTGTCCCCCAAACCAAGCCATAGGGAAAACTGCAGTTAGATCAAAGTCTTTTGTCTGGCTGTAATGACATAGCAATTAGAGCCTTTGCTAGCAGAAACCTCAGCCCCAGCCAATTTCCTCCATCCATCCACTCTTGAAGGAGAAGGCAGGCAGCTGTGTTCCCCATGGCTCCTCTCCTGCTCCTTTTCATTAGAGTCACAGGAGACCTCAGCACTATGCGTCTGCACTGTGCTCTCCACAGGGCCTTAATGCCAGATTGACCTGACGCTACAGTAAAGGCCAAGCCCATTTCATTTTAGCAAGTCATGAGTTAAGCAGCTGGGTTAAAATAAACCCTGCCTAAATCAAGCTAGCCAGCCTCAACCAGCAGTTGAATCTCGTCAGAGATTTAGGAGTTCAGATGCAGTTTCATTTCTCTTTTCCCATTTCAGTTTGTGAGTTTGAGCTTCTGGCTAGGATTAGAAGTGGAAAATCCTGAAGACAGCATTTCCAGCACAGTAAGGCAAATAAGTGTTGGGCTCTTGCGAGACCTCCTGCTTGCGCAGAACTTCTACCCAAATGCACTGACCCAAGAAGAGGCTCAGATAAACTCGGATGTTATATGAAAAAAAAAAGTTCAAACACAGACAAAGAAGACAAAGAGTAAAAGCATATTTAGAGAAGATAGATTGAGGCACAGGTAAGGAGGGACAGTTTAATCACAGCCAGTTGCTGTTCCTGATTAGTAGGTAAATCTTATTACAAGCCTGTTTGTGGCTCACTGCTCAGACACCAAACAGAGCCAGTCCCTGTCAAAGTGATGGACATTGTTACGTTGCCCATCTTTATCCCGCTATCTTGAAGGACAGAGTCAAGGAGATATTTCAGACTGCAGACCCAGGCACTGCACAGATGTGGAGTGTAACATTTCACTGAGAGCACACAGGGAGGAGGACAGCTTTCTGGAAGGGGATCAAGTCCAATATAGCAAATGAGAGTCTAAACGTTTGGTCATGTTTAGGCCTTCCAAGAGGTTACTCCGTGACCGTCTGGCTCTGAGTTCACCTACCTGCCCCTGTTCAGCATGGAGAGCTTGGCATCCAAATTTGAATTGTTAACAAAGTGAAATCAAAAAACAGATACTCATCTTTTGTGGTTATCACTGTTATACGTTTTAATGGATCTTTTTGTTTAAATGGGCAGAGTTTTCACCTTTTGGGAAGGTGAAAGAAGATGAGGAGTTTGGCAAAAAAGGGCAGACTCAGAAAGATGGGAGGTGTGGTGGGTGCCGCGTGCAGCGGAGAGGCTGTGTTGAGTGTCGGTGTGCGCATGCCTGCGTGGGACACCGCGCAGTGACGCGGGGGGAGCTGGCCTGCTTTCTGCCTGCCGGTGGCACTGGGTTTCTCCTCTGCACTGACAGGCGGGTGAGAGAGAGATCGGTCCTGGGGGGGCTGGAAGGTGCGCGGGAGACCGGCGTTGGTGCGGAGGAGCGAGGGGGCTGCACTGGAAAGCCAGCAGAGAGCCACCCTTTCCTTCAGCTGCTATTTCTAGCATAAAGGAAGGAAGAGTTAAGGCTGTTTGCAATAAAAAAATTCCAGCATAGCTAGCAAACGTACCGCCTGAGCAGTGTCCATCCAACTGGGCACTCACCCTGCCTGCCTGGCATCTTGTCTTTGCGTGCCGTCACCTGTCTGCAATGTCCTCTGTGTGCAGCAACCCTGTTTCCATAAATCTGTGTGTGTTTCTGTGTGTGAGGTCTCTGGACATCAGTAGGACCTACAGACACAGAAATGCACTGTTTAGAAATAGCAGAGCCATCTTGCTTAGCCTCCTTTCTCCTGTAGGCCTGTACTGGGCCTTCCTCAAGCCTGGCCAAGCAGTCTTTCGCCGCAGCCGGTTGCTCTGCTGCTTGGCTCCCGCTGCCCTCTCAGCGTTGTTACGCAGCCAAATAGCACCCTCCTGCCTGCGTCCCTCCTCCTTCCCGGTGAGGGCGGACCGCAGCTTGGGACGCTGCCACCACCTCGCCGGAGCCTTTCTTTCAAGGCTAAGCTGTGGCTTGGAGCCGTGGCTGGGGGAGGACAGCTGGGCCTGAGCTGCGGTTCCTCTTGCCACGGTGCTGGGCGGCCATATCCCCCGTCCGCGGTGCATGGGGAGAAGGGGAGCGGCACGGCGGTGCGTGCCCTTGCTCCCTGCGCACCCCTCCTCTTCCTCGCCAGTGAGCTGGCGGTAATGAGACCATCGCTTTGCGAACGCTTTAGAAATCCACGTGCCGCAGTACCTGCCACGTGCGAAGTGCCTGTAATAGTACCCCGGCACTGAAGTAAGGTGGCGTATTTGCCAAAATGAAATGAAAAAAGAAGATGGGGGTTGGATATGCCTTAGAAATGCATTGGACGTGTTTTTAAAGGCAGAATGGCAGGGCGTGCTTTTTCATGTGAAGGTAAAAATTCAAGATAAGCTTAAATATTTCCCTGACACAGTCACTACCTCCATCAGATAGATCTACTATGTAAATAAGTGTACTGTAATTTAATAATCCTGTGGCTTCTAACCTTTTAATGGGGTTCTCAGAAGACACAGACTGAAACCAGCCTCCCCAGATTAAAGTTTTTGATTAAAACCACATGGATCAGCTTGATCTTCTCCGTGCTTAGGACACGGGGCCAAACGCAGCCCGCCCGTACGCACTGCGAAGCCAGCAGCCCTTGGTCCGCCAAGCGGATCGTGATGTCGGGTCAGACACAGGCAGGACCGGGGGCCTCAGAGGCGGCGAGCGAGGTCTGGAGGACACCGCGTGCCCAAAGGGGCGCAGGCCACGCTGGAAGCAGCGGCCGTCTGAGGCAGCCCGGGGAGGTCCGAACGGGTGCGAAGAGATTGCGTTTCAGGGCTGCGACCAGGGCGCTGCTCCCTGGGCAGACCGCGAAAGCTGAGAACTCGGAAGAACCAAAAGCTGCCGTTGCCAGATTTGCTCTCTGCACACGAGGAGCGCGGCCGCAGCCGTGTTTCTCTGACTGAGGCATTTCCCGGCAAAGCGCTGAACGAACGTCTAGGCATCACAGCTTGTGGAAGGAAGAGGCGGTTTTGTTTTAAGACCCAACAGAGATGTCTTTCGAAGCACTGACTGTAAGCCGTTCACTCTGGGGATGAGCAATCGTGGGCAGCGCACAGAGGTATTTAACGTTAGCCCATCCTCTCAGTGCCTCAGCCATCCTGTATCCTGCAGAAATATTTGAGCTGTAATGAAAAATTTGGGCACTGCATATCTGAGTGTTTAATATTCCGCACTAGGGAATTATCAAACCATCTTGCTTATTTTTCCGGGCAGCTGCAGGTATAGAGCTGCTCTGTGCGAAGCACACGCATAAACCCATTAGGGCTTTCTAATGTTTCAGGCAGAGGAGAATAATGGAGGAGCTTTAGCTAGCAATTGTAATGCCAACTGAAATGCCTTTTAGCTAGGAGACAGTGCTTCATTAATTTTCATGTCAGCAGAATCTCAAGTGAAGAAGTTTAAATGTTCTTCAGGGAGGTGCGATTCAAGTAGTAGCCAACATCCAGAAGCAGGGGCCAGAAAGGGGCATGATTTTCCTTTTGTCTGCATTTGATGGTGTCTCCTCTCCCTCCCATGTCTCCAGCAACTCAAACCATCAGCAGCAGTTGGCAGTTGATGGGGTGGCTGACTGTGTTTGATATGTCTGCCTGTTGGCTGACTGGAGTCTCGTCCCAGAAACCATTTCCCTGGAGAAACCTGGCACAGGTTGCGTTTTGCCTCCTGTGATTAACGACGTGCTCAGTTTGCCCCTTTTGCTGTGCCACATCCGCAGCCCGCTGTCCTCCTCGGGCAGGCTCTCCTGCGGCCCCCGCGGCTCTGAGCTGGGCAGGCTGCAGCGGTGGGAGCGTGCAGTGAGCTCTTACACCCAAACTAGGGGGAATAAGCTGGTATATTAAGAGGTACAAATGTGTGTCTGTGATTGGGCTGACGGGGTCAGAGAATCGCAAAGAGTCCCTTGCTGTGCTGTTGATTGAAATAAAATTCCTGTTCCTGAAGGGACCAGGAATGAGCAGTGATCAGGGGCTGGGGGGGCCGCAGAGCTCCAAAAGGCAGGCTGCTGGCGTGCGAGCACTTCGGAGCACTGTGCGGCTGATCTCATGCTGCTTTCACTCTGCCGCAGCCCCTCAGCCTTCAGGGGGATTGCCCCAGCCTAACATCGGCATAGGCGAGAGCAGAAGCTGGCCTGTCCTCCCTGTACACCCCTGCGCACTACCCATAGCCTTGCATGAGCAGCATCTCCTCTAATGGACTTTGCATGGGTTACTGCACTGAGCATGACAGCGTTGTTGCATGTGCTTCCAAACGTTGTCAACTTTATTCCAGACTGTCCTTGTATGTGTATCCCCAAGAAAAGTTTCTTTTTCATCCGTTGAGCTGGCATCAGGGATGTAGAGCCTCCTAACTGCTTAAGGCATTTCCTAGAGCTCCCTTATCCCAGCCCAGGTTAAACCTAGCGTAAGTTTTCTGAGCAACCAGTTGATCAGGCTTAGGCAGCACTGAGCGCTGTCAGAGGATATGGATACAGACCTCTGAGACACTTTCGTGCCATCAAGCAGATACCCTCCAGGACAGCTGGGGGACTCCTCTTTGCCGTTTGGATATCCAGCCCTTGCAAAGAGAACACTGTCTTGCTAACAGGCTGCCTAGAAGAATTTCTGTTCAGCAGCTTTACAGTGGAAGGTGTCTTCCTGGGATTATTCTTTATGTTAAGAATTATGCAAAGAGTTTATAAAAATGTAATAAACACCCCTTTTTTTATTAAATAGTTAATCAGTGGCTGTTTTTGTACAGTTAAGAGAGTAATTGCAATCACCTACAGCCTGTTTTCTTTATGTGCTGATAGCCAGTGTCCATCACTGCTAATGTGCTTCTGAGATCCATTAATCAGCCATTTGTCGTTAATAAATAGACCCTTAATATAGTAGTCAACTCTTTGAGATATTCTTGGATCTTCTAAAAGGTGATTTCTTGCATTCCCAAGAAGACATTTCCAAAAAAGAAAAAAGAGAGGGAGAGTATTTTATAATCCTGAATACACATGAAAGCACGTTGTACAGACTTAAGTAAATATTTTGCTGCAATATTTTTATTATTGTTTTTTAGACACACCAGAGGATTAGCCAAGCTCAGTAGCAAAGACAACCATTCCAGTCCAAGATGACTGATAGGATATAGGCACATAAGCAACACCAAAATGCATTCAAAAATAACTGTGTTTGCTTTCATCTTGTTTTTTCCACTTCCATTAGCAGAAAAAAAGAAGTCTAGGTGACCCCACTCGGAAGGAAATATTTTTTAGATGTCTCCATTTCACTTTTAAGTACCAGAAAAAATAGTAGTTGAAAGAGAGCAGCAGATTCAGTTTCCTTTTATCAAATTTATTGTACAGTTTTGGACTCTAATCTGGCGTCAGCTGTGCTACCAAGACCCATTTCAAGAGTCACTCCATCTGAAAGATATCAGCATGCTAAGAGGAGTGAAAGATATATTTCAGGAGAACTCTGAGTGCTTTTGAACTTTACAAGGCTAAGCAACTTTTTTCCCAGGTCCTCCTGCATTTAAAGCAAAATTTGCTGAAACATTTGCAAAAAAAAAAAAAAAACCCACTATTAAGAACCGTCCTGCTCTGACTTGGTATGACCTGGGATGTCTCTTCCACTTGCAAAATCTACAGCAATACTGAGTTTGGCCTTAAGTACACTCTTTGAATATTTACATTTCTTAAGTCTGAAAAGAATTAGACTCCATCAGAGTGACCACAGCCATCCTGTGGTCACAGTCTAATTTTAGAGAGCCGCAAGCAGTAAATACAAGTCAGTCGCGGGGCAATGTCCAAAAACTTGCTTTGGAACATCCCCGCGGGCTTTGTCATGTGCAGAAATTTCCTCATTTCGAAAGAAATAAAGGAGGAGTCATGACCAGAGGCAGAGATATAAAATTGATGTGTTCACGGCCTGAATGTTTTTTTAGGTGTAGTCAAGCCCTTGTTCTTATATTTCCGAAGGAGCTTGTGCTGCCAGTCTTTGTAGAGACAGATGCTGAGCACCCCGCTCCATTGCCACTGGCTCTATCCTGTGTGCTAGTAACCCTCACACGCGTCCTACTTTGCCACAGGCGTTGCTGTGTTCTCTTTAGAACTTTATAGTACACCAAAAGCCCGCTCTCACTGAAGCTGAGTTCAGATTTTGTTCTTATTTATGTGGAACATGCCTGATGTCAGCTGGATTAGAAGAGATGCATGTTAGAGTCCCCACCAGCAAGACCTGACCTGGGCCTTTCCACCTAACTAGAGTTGAAGCTTTGCTTGGTTTGAAGCTTTTCTCTTGGCTTCAGGTCTCATTTCCATTCTGCTTCTCATCCTTCCCAGTTCATAAAGGAGTCCTGTTAAGTGAAGAGGTTGTTCGCTAGCCTGAGACGAAGCGGCAAGAGCAGAGAACGCTTGCAAGAAAAAAGTTGTCAAAGTTATACGGGTCCCTTCTGCAGGCCCAAGAGGTTTGGCTCAGTCGGATGATCTAACTGCAGTTTTTGAAGGCCTTACTTCTAGGTAGAAGTACTTGGCCGTTTCACGTGGCTTGCTTGAATCAGTTCTCCAAAGGACTTTGCCCCTGCATCCAGGCGTGTGTAAGACACTGCCAGCAGGTCCTGTTGTGGTTGTGATGAATGCCAGCGTGCTGCCTAGCCAAGCCGGAGGGCCTGCATTCATTGCCTTGCCTTTCTTTGTCTTTTTCTGCAGAAGCCCAGCGCAGGCCTTACTATGCTGACTATTCCCCAGCACGAAAGTATATTCACACCCTCTGCACCAGCCACTATCTGGACCTCTTCATCACGTTCATCATTGGGGTCAATGTCATCACTATGTCAATGGAGCACTACAACCAGCCGAAGGTAAGAGCCACCCATCAATTCGTGGGATGTGAAACACAGCAGCAGGGGTGGCAGCGGGCTTGAGGACCACACGCTGTTTCCATGGGATGCCAGGATCAGTGATGTTGATGAGGTCTGCAGCTGGCCCCACTTCCCTAGGAGCATTCCCTGTCACTTGAGAGCCTCAGCAGACTTCAGGCTCCGTGTTGCACATCTGCCTTCCTCTAGGGCCAGCTCTACTATGCAGGGAAGAGTCACTTGCCACAGCCAGAAACTTGACTCCCCTATCACGTAGGTCAAGGCCAGAGCTTCTGAAGGCAGTGGTTTGCTCTTGCATACAAACAGTGCATCAGGCTCACGGAGAGTGAAATAAACTTCTACTAGAAAAAAGACCAGAGCAAATATTTCCTCTCCTGATCTCAGCAATGATTTATCCTCAGGCTGTAAAACAGTCCAGAGCGTTAGAATATTCCATTAATGGATATAAATATGAAGCTAACGCAAGTAGAGCAAAAAGTTTCTTTTCCTCAATGAATTTGAAGTAAACCAACTCCAAGAACAGTGCTTTTTTTAAATGTATCTTAAAATCCAATTTTCCCAAGAAAATCTGTGGCATAAATCCTATAGCCCATGGATTTATCATCATTCACAGAGCTCCAGGCTCAGTGTTTGCTTTTTTAATATTTCACGGTCTGCCAGGTAACCTGCAAATGCCTCCCGGAAACTAAGCCACGGGGGCAGCAAGCCACAGGGGTAACGTGTGTATGTCTTTTGCTAGCAGTCTGTGTACTTTTCTGCCCCCATAATTCCTTTACGTAACAGACTGTTTCACATGTAAATGTTATTTACCCAGATTAGATCTTATTTACACTTATTTTATGTTCAGGTAAAACACAGCCGCGTAAATCTGAATGCAAACCATCACAAATAATGCAAGAGTTTAAGCTCAGGCAGTGAGCTTTGTATGACGTAGTAAATTGTCCCACATTCTTTGAAGGTATCCATTTTATTTTAGGCACTAGAACAAAAATAGAGAGTAGTGCCTTGAGGAATGCCAACATCTGAAAAACTTTCAGCTCCTGTTCCAAAAATATCAGTGCATGTTCACCCTGCATATCTAGGGTCAACAAAGCACAGCCATCACACATGTGAAGGGAAGAGTTTTCCTGTGGCCTGAGGTGTCCTCTGTTACCAAAGCAAAAAAGCCCTTTTCCCCTCCTCTGTCGTCTTTTATTTCCAATTATGACTGTTTTGATGTTCATTGTTGTCGTTTTTTTATTTGCAAGAGACCTATACTACTTTTAACTAAATGTGATTTCCCTCCCTCCTCTCCCCAAATCCCTACCCAATCAAAAGAGCTGTTTTACTCTGCAACATCTATTTTAAGGTCCATGTAAGATTCTTTTGCTATTGTTGGCCTCCAATTCCAATGAAATCCGTTATAAACACTCATCATCTTAGAGTATAAACACTGTGGATTCCTGACTTCCGAGAGCAGCTCTATAGAGAGAGTGAACATTGCACCAAATATGGATATACTTTTCCCAGCGCTAGAGATGTTACATTTTTCAAGAAGGCAAGATTTAATCTGTCTCCAACATTATTTATTTTTCTGAGTGTGCTAAGCAAAGCCATTGTCCTAAGGATTGCCATGCTGGAATAAAGAACTGATCCATCAAGTCTTTTATTCTACCCAACCATAGGCAGTTCAGAAAAAGTAAACTTTATTAGATGGAGAAGGGGTAGAATCTTCTCTCCGTCCCAGATCCTGAGCAATTTGTGCACTGAAGCTGGAGGATTGATAGCTCTTGGCGCTTTTAGCACAACTAGTTATTACTGCTTATGAGTTTCTTGTTTGCATTGGTGTCTAATCCTTTATTTGAGTTTTGCTGTGTGATTTAATGTAGTGTTTTGTAACTGAGCTCTGCAAGCTAATATGACATTGCTTCTTACATCTCTGTGCTTATGCCACTCCTGTGTCTCCCAGTCCCTCTGCAGTGGGTCTAGGAAATTACAGCTTGGGCTGGACTAACTGGGGCCTCTCTTTGCAGTCCCTGGATGAAGCTCTGAAGTACTGCAACTATGTGTTCACCATAGTTTTTGTGTTCGAGGCAGTTTTGAAGTTGGTGGCGTTTGGTTTTCGAAGGTTCTTTAAGGACAGGTGAGAGTATTTTAAACTCCTTTGTATTTGGGATAGAGCTGTACTGACCCAGTTTAGAAGCCAGATGCTGGGTATATGTAGCATCACTGTACCAGTAGTACCACATGCCGTGTGCAAGGACTGAAGGGCTATCTCTCCGTAGGTGCAGACTTTATAGTGTAGGAGCTAGAAGTCCTGAGAATTGCTGTTCCTGCTTTGCAGAGGGTATTCGGGGAATCTTGCAAAACTGTAGATAAGTTCCTTATCTCATGAATTGCCACTCTGCCAGGCATGACCTGCTCAGCCTAGAGGTCTAGGCCAAGCTGTTCGCTTCAGTCCAGACCTCAAAAGAATAGTCACGGCAACTAAAGTCATGGAGCCCCATAGAACAAATGTCCTTTACAGTCCACACCAGTCCTTTGGTAGGCTGCTGGTTTTTAAATCCCCTAGCAAAGACAGAAATAATTGTGTTCAGCCCCACTGCCTTCAGATCCCAGCTTCTGAGACCCACAGATCTCATTCTGCTGCACATTCAGCCGGAAGCCAATGTATGTGAGAGCACATTGTGGTTTGGAGACCTGCTGAAGAGCAGGGTGAGGTCAGACACTTTTCCACACAGTCCTGGAAACTAGCTCGTTTGCCCCCTTTTTCCTAACTGGATGGCTGGAACCTGCCATGAGCCATATTGCTTATTGGAGAAATTGCTTAGGAAAGGCACTCCATTTCTTCACACCTTATTGGCTTTCCAGTGCTGGTGTGGAAGGTCCTCTGAAAGAGTTAGGCTACAAATCACTCAAGTGGGGTAACTCAAGAAAGATAACATGGGAGCAGCTGGTCCCTCTAGCCCAGTATCCTGTCTCTGAGAGTGGCTCTAAGTGGATGCCAGGGGAGGACAGTAAGGACAGGGAAGCAGAATAAGATGCCAGCCTACAGCAGTGTGTGGCTCAGAGATGCTCTGTGCCAGCTGCAGTGAGTTGATTTTGTACCTCCTAGAACCGAGGAACACTGGCCCAGGTGTGAGAGAGGAAAGGGTTTGGGATTTGCTTGTGATTGTTATTAACAGACCGTTCTCTATCCTGGGCATCTTTGTAAGCTGTCTACCCATGTGGGATTTTCCTTTTTTGTCCTTTCTTTCTTTGTCTGTTAGGTGGAATCAGCTGGATTTGGCCATAGTTCTTTTATCAATTGTGGGAATCACGCTGGAGGAGATCGAGATGAATGCTGCACTGCCCATCAATCCCACAATAATACGCATCATGCGGGTACTGAGAATAGCCAGAGGTAAGGCTTGCTCTGTAGGTCTTCAGCCATCCCTCCAGATGCATCAGGGAACAGTTTGGCTATTTGTTCTTCTAGTCCCGCTGTCTCAGTTAGATTTGAGAATAGTTACAAGATGAGGCTGCAGAATGTCGATGCAGAAACAAGCTAGGTGTGATTTCATGGGTGTTTGGAGAGTGGTCTCAGATTGGTTTCTAATACAAACCGGGGATCCCAGGCTTTTTATAATGATACCAAACAAGAGCAGGAACCAGTAGAGAAGGGAGGATCAGAGCTTGAGATGGTGCTGTTCCCTGAGGAAGTGTCTCCTCACCACTCTCCCGTTTTCTTGCGAGGGCACACTGGAGTTTTTGTGGCTTTTGGTCTGTTTTACTGAAGTTCTTAACATCAGCTGGTGAGGGATGGAGTCAGGACACTCAGACGTTTATGGGCCTTGCAGGATGCAGTGAGCTTGCCATATGTGTGAATGGATGCAAGAGAAATGTGAACCCTCCCTACAAGAACTAAAATTAGATTTTCTTTATGGTTTTGCTTGAGATGTATCCCATCCCCCTGACTAGGCTCTGGTTCTCATTGTAGTGCTGAAACTGCTTAAAATGGCCACTGGGATGCGAGCTCTCCTGGACACAGTGGTGCAGGCGCTTCCCCAGGTAAGCCCCCAGACTTTATTTGTGCCCAGTTTGTTCCTCTTGGTGGACTGTGCCTTTTGGGACTGGGGACAGCTCTGTGCCGCTGCGTTCGGTGCGCCTGGCGAGAATGTCACTTTTCTCCACTGCCACCAGTGCCTTGGTGGAGGAGCTGTGCAGGGTAAATCCTGCCCACATAGTCTGTGTTACATGGGAGAAACAGATCATATAAAAGGAGTTAGGAGTTAACGGAGAGCTAAGTGCTGTAGGCAGACCTGTTCTAAAACACAGAATTCACTGGGGAGGTCAGGAAACACCAGGATAGAGAGAGGAAGCTGTTGGTGAAAGCCCTGGAAGTAAACAGCATCCAGCCTAGCGGTTTTCTTTTGTGAGGCAGAAGCAGCTACTTTTATTGATACTTATTGACAGAGGAGTTGCAGACTTTAAAAGCCAAATAGGGGAGGCATTTCTGAAAGATAAAACCTTAAAGTGGGATTTCAAGTCACTGCATTCTCATGAGCTGCAAGAGAAACAATGATGCTGCCCGTTGTAATGGTGTTTGATAGGATCCTTCAAATGCTCAGTTCCTCGGACCGTTTTCTTATGCATCAATTACTTCATTTGAAAAAAGAAAGAAATGTTTTGCTGACTTGTACTTCTCTCCTGAAAAGATCTAAGGCATATCAGAAGAATTCCAAGTAGTTTAGGATTTCTCTGGTTTTCTTATGTCATATGATATTTGAGCTGTGTTCTGCTAGTTTGTGGATTTGGTGATCTGATTCCTAATCTTTCAGTGCTCAGAGGTAGCTCAGCTGCCTACATAGTCCTGTTTCATATCACCAGGATCATGTAAACCGCCAGACAGTACTGGAGGTGGGGAAAGGGACTGTAGACTTACTTTCCCATTGCCCAGGCTCTTGTAGGCTCATTCACCCCTGTATAAAACAAGGTGAAGAGGCTCTGAGATCAGAAAGGAAGCATTTAATGCCACACTTTGCCCAGAAGTGAGCGCCAACACGAGGTGCAGGGGATCTCCGGCAGCGTTCTCCTTGGAGCTGGCAATTCAGAAGTAGCACTGCTGGGATCTGCAAAGATGGACAGACAAATCCTTAGTTTTGAACCCCTGTGAACCATCCCACGGCTGAGTTGCTGGAAGGGACTGCACGAGCGAGCCTGCTCCGTTTCGTCTAAAAGCCAGTTCTGTGCCAGCATAACCAGTGTGCCCTGGGATGGAGTAGGGGGTCGAGCCACCCTCTCCTCGACTCGGCTGTGCAGGCGATTGCCTGCGCTGGGAGATGGCAGCACAGAGCCAGGGCAGACCTGTCCTGAGCAGCTGCAGCTCTCTGCAGAGAGATCACATTGCAAGGGCATGATGGTAGCACTCTGGCTTGGCCAAAAATACATCTCATGTAGACATCTATTCCAGAATAGGGGTGACCATATGGGAAGTAGTAGAGCTAATATATATAATATCTAAACACACCTCTACGAGTTAATTGCTGAGTGCAAAGATGACCATAGTCTATTCAAAATGGCCTGGGAAACAAGGGGAATTTCTTTTTCTTGGAAAGGCGCATCTACTTTTCATCACTGCCATAAAGATGTTTCTAATCTAAGACATTTGCCCTTTGGTATTCAGATTTCCTTCTCAGTGAAGGATTTTGGCTCAGACTAAAGCATGGAATTTACCAACCTGACCCCTGTTTTGGCATTTCAAGAAAGCAGTTGGTTTGTGTCTTATTAGTTTTCTTTCGAAAGCATTGTGATTACAGAGCATGTTTTCTCCCTCTCCTGTGTTTTTTTCCCCCCTAAACAATAGGATGGCTAGAGGCCAGTTTCTTTGTTTCTTTGGGGTGTTTTTGCAGTTAACATTCAAACCAAAGTCTCTTTTAAAGGGAAATCTCCAGAGATCTTCCAAGCAGATCTTGTGTGGATGAAAATGCCATTTTGCCCTCTAGTGAAATTCAAAAAATAAGGAGGAAAGTTTGGGGAGACCTCTCCCGCAGAAAAAGCTACAGCTTTCATTTCAAAGGCAGGGGAAGAGTTCCTACCCCAGTTAATTAAGCAGCCTAAAACCATAGCTAGAAAAACTCATTGAATGTGTCTGCTAAGTAACAAGAAAAATTAATTCCATGTTTTTCAATGAAATTTTGGGAGAAAATTCTTTAAAATATGTTGAATGTCCATTTATTGCCTTAGCACAGTAAGGTATTGGCATTACAATATACTTTTTTCCCTTCCCTTTTTGATGATTTCCATCAGCTTCCTGTTTGTTTTTATTCGGCATTAGAGATAACTTAAGGTACACGTAGAGGACCGACTGTCCCCAGACGTGGGGGATGTCAGCATTTTGATCCCAGATTGAAGTTGTCATGATGCAGACTTAGTCTCCTCTCCTGGAACTTCCGGCTGACCTTGAGCTTCTGTTTTCAATGCAGGAGGAATTCCTACCCTACTGCAGCCTCCTTGTCTCATAACCTGCTCACAGACATCTTCCCCTCCACCAGATCTCTGAAAAAAAAAAGAAGTTTAGAGTAGAAAAAAATGAGGAGAGGCAGGAGGGACAGAAAGAACAGTCAGGGACCGATCTCAAAACAGTACTTTCTTTGCATAGCACGACCATACCCTCTTAGCCCCAGCAAACACTGGAGCTAGATTGAATCAATCATCATGATATTGGCACGCGACCTCTGTGCTTGTGCAATGGTGACTCTTTTACCCATTACTGTACAGTCTCAAGGCAGAACCTCCTTTTCAAAGAAGAATCTGAGTTTTCCAGTTTCACAGTTGCACAGACCAAGAGGCTGAACTAGTAGTTAGGCCAGGGTCACCTAGAAAGGCACTGCCTACCTCAGCTCTGAGCCATGGCATACCCTTTTGGAAGATGAAAGCAACCTGTGGTGGACTCCAAAGTATCAAATGCTAAAATGTGAGACACTGATGTAAACTTGAAATAGATCCACTGCTTTAAACTGAGTGGCTAAAACCAGACAGTGAACTGGGCTAGCATGACCAAAACTGACTTCATCGCTCAGACATTGCCAGTCCCAGTTCAGCCAGTTCTGTGCTGCAGTTCACAGGCTCAAAACTCCCCTGTGATCTCAGAGACTGGCTTCTTACATAAAACAAGCCACATAGCTCAGGTCTGAACTTTAGCATGTCTTTTAAAAGCCAACCAGTCTTGTTTTAAGGATGGGAAGTGTTAGGAAATAAGTTATTCCAATAGATGTTTACGCTGTTTGCTAAAAAAAAAAAAGTCTTATTTTTAGTCTGCATTAGCGAAGTTTGGTTTTCCATTGTATTTCATTATTTTTTTTTCTGCTGGAATTTCTCCTTTATGGTAGTAAGAAGATAAGAGATAAAATAATTTCTTACAATCTGGCAAACAGAAGAACATTGAGCTGCTTTAGTCTCTCAGGTTTTCAAGACCTGTTTCCAGTTTTTCCACATCTTTATGATCTCTGGTCCCATTAAGGCTATCTAATGAATTATACTAAGGCTATATAAGGAATTATACCACTGCTGTACTTCAGCTGAATATTCTCTTGCTTACACATCTGGTGGTTGCATCAGTTTTGTAAGCAATGTTTTTTCCTTAGGACTCCCATTTGGTGGGTAATCCTGTAGTCCTTTCCAGATGCCCTGCTTTCCCAAGTACAGTTCACCCTCTCTGTACCATGGCCTGCACTTTACTCGTTGCGCTTGGCTGTGTTAAAGTTGTCATTGTGTAAGTGACTCCACCGTATCAAGCAGTCTAGCTCAGTTGCATAGCACTTCTAGTATCGATTGCACGTAAGAAAGCCTGGAGTCAACGCTAACCTGCCAGTGCTGTTCCCGATGGAGAAGCATAGTGAAATGCAGTCCACCTGCCATCTTGGCTCTGCAGGGCCAGCAGTAGTTAATTGTGGAACTTTCCTTGCAAATCCTA